TAAGAAAATGATTTATTTGTTAACTTGTCAGGTTTATATATTGCATGAGAAATGCCCAAAAAGGAGGTGGAATGCAAAATCAGGGTTGGTATTGCTACTAAAGAGAGCAATCCTCGGTCCATATCCCCCTCAACCTGAGTCCAGTCAAATGACAGCTAGTGAGGATGCTCCAACCAATCATCAATTGATCAAACATTGATGTTCATGCAAGCCCCATTGCCTCAGGCAATTGCAACCAAATCTTTAATGGGGCCAGTATCAATCAGGAAATGTTTTGACTAACTATAGGGACAGACATGTGGGTATTGTATATTTGCATGAAAATGTAACAATGGGCACCCAATATAATCATGTCCCTTACAACAAATATCAAAATATTTAATAATCACCCAGATCAAAGTACAGCCTAATTTATAAAGGATGGATATATTTTTAAGGGTATTACATTAAAGTATAAATTGGTCAACTTTCTTTCCCATTAAATCTTCACAGGCTACCAGTTTGTATAATTCCTAAATCCATGCAGGTACAGATGATTGCTCATTTCTCATACCCTGAATCAAACAGCATGTTAAATGATTTCATTGATCTAGAGCTGTGTACAGTAAATGTTTTGTCATTGACAACCTAGTAGACATCATTTCTGTGTTAGGAAAAGGGGCTCTATTAGCAAAAGTTAAATTGAAAAGTGCTTGTACATTGATTATTACTTAAACATACTGGTGATTGAGATTTTTTGGGTTCTCAGTAAAGGGGTTTTACTACATAGAAAAATGTTACCAAAGGGCTCTGCATGTAAAATATGGGAGACATTTACAACAATTTTTCTTTAGTTAACAAAATAACAAACTGAATTTACACCCTTCAGATCACTACTTAGATGATGACTTTATTTGTATTGGGAAAAGGGAAACAGAATGTATACGGCTCATTGTAAACTGAAAAATTGTCGGGCCACTGAGTGATATTGGTGGCCCCTTAGCTGAACATAAAACTGCAGGCCCTACGACAAGAATCACGTATTTAGGATTAGAAATATACCCTGCTAAATAATTGTCTTGCAGGTTTCACAGCTAAAAGTTACTATGTTAATAAATATGGTAAAGGAGATGTTGCAGAAAAAGGTTACTCCTTTTGAGAGCTACAATTTAAGGCAATTAGATCAAGCATGGCAATAGGAGAATGTGTGATGTAACGACTGTTGCATCCAAATCTTAGGCCTTATCACTTCATTTGAATTTCAACAGGCATGAAAAGTTACTGGGATATGTGGTTCAAGTTCTTACTAAATTTCAATGGTATACTTTAATACACATTGATAATATTTGCAGCAGTGGTAGGTGTTATTGTCAAAATTATGAATCAAGAAGGACTATGGATTTATCAAGATTATGTGTCAAATCCATGATGTATAATGTTATTTTTAAAGGTAAGCAGATACCAGGTGTTTTGAATAGCAGAAGCCATTTCTAATAAACTGTAATGGCATTTCAGGGACCAGGCACCAAGGACAAAAGATACACCACAAAGCTTACCAAGGAATTTGTGAAAATGATCATGGGCTAAAAGTAGAAAGATTACTGGAGGCATCTGTGTCCACAAATACAAAATTGTTGTACTATTATTTTAAAAGTTTCATTACTTCTTTAATTAGGAACAAATGTGGCCACCATTTTTAAGTCACACAGTGCAGTAAGTTACATTCTTCTCATGTTCATGCTCTTCATAGTCATCAGATAGGTCATACAATGTATGTTGCTGCCATCAGTTTTCAGTGTAATTTAAAAATCTTCAGAATAATTCACAAGTTCAGGTTCATTTAGTCACTCAAAATCCTCTTAATATATGGTACATTAGGATAGTGTAAAATATTACAGTATATAAATTTAGGTCAGAGGTACAGGTAGCAAAGTAATGTTGACAATGCAGTACATTCAAGTATAAAATGGAATTTGTTGGCCACATGTTTAAGTTTTTTACTATTTCAGGCACATGATTATTGAAAATTGTGCAAGTTGTTCCCACATTAGGTACATAAAATTATATATGAATCTAACATTTCTGCATTAACATTAATTATTAATCTTTTTGTTTTGTTCTTTTTATTATGCATGGTTTGCAGTATACTTTGCTTTTATACCCAGAAATGATGATCATTGCAGTTATAATTCAGATTGCAGACACCAAAACTGAACCTGACCAAGGTATAATGCTCTTGAATATTAAGTGTGTTCAACAGGGTAAGTGAATAACTAGGGAAGGATTCAAATATATGCACTGTTAGGTGCATGTTAAATTATTTGTCTCTATTTGTCTCTTAAAAATCAAAAGTCCATTGGCGTGTCATTATGGGCAAAAGCCTATTATCCAGTATCAGTTTACTATTCTAAAAAAAACTAGTTATAGGGATAGGGGAAAATTTAAAACACATTCCTTTAGAATACGGGCAGCCACTGCTCATATGAATTGGGTTGTTCTTTAGAAAAAATGGGGGGGGGGGGTTCAGGTAGATGAAAATCTCAAGGGTATAAGTTGTACACTTGCTAAACTAAATCCTCAATTAGTATGGAAGTTAAAATACAGTATATTTGTTTGTTAATTGTTCTACTTTGAACTATATATAGATTACTGACTTTCATAAAATATAATGATTTTGTTTAAAGAGTATATAATGCCACCACATTGTACTCTTAAAGTATTCATTGTGGAGGTAATGATCCTGATAGGATCAGGGGGATAAAACGCAGTATAAACTAAAACAAGAAATAAAAATGACAAAATCCTAAGTACATGTACATGTACAAAATTTCCCAAATTCAAATTTGTATGGTCACAGGCCCTTCTTGTTTAGAATGGAGGTATGCTCAATATAATCAAGCAATGCCAATAGAGAGATACAGTGTTTGCTTTAATAGAGATGTTGCTATACTTGACCTTGGTTTGTGTGTTTGCCAGAAATTAGACAGGATATATCCCTCTTTTGGTTCGAAGATGGCATTCACCTTTCTGGAGGGGGGGGGGATGGGGGTCGTATACTTCCGGATAAAGTTAGAATCAGGCCATCTGGAAGGAAATAAGTGGGGAAATTCAGTATTGTCGTGGGTCAGTTGACTTGGTACTCCCTTGTGGGGTGACTGCAAACGTTTACTCGTTTGTCGTTTGTAGCCATTTGGCGTATGCGCACACTAAAGTCAACTGATATGTTAACTAAGTACTATTAATGGGAAATAATTGTTGACTAATGGTTGACACTGATCGAGTGAAAATGTTGTATTGATTGGAACTGCATTGCTGTGTAATGTGGGTTTGATAAATTGGAGAAAAACTGCATTTTGTATCAAATAATTATTGTAGATTGTGTATGTAAACAGCGACCTATATACTTAGTATATAGGTCCTTGACGTAAATTAGTAAAGATTAACTAAGTAACCGTCCGCGGATTACCCGGGGTGGTCAATTTGTTTCTGTTTGCTGAATTTGATTGATGATTGATTGATTTGTTGTTGATGCTGAAGTGGGTCTGCCAATGTTGTGTTGATTTGTGCGGCGACCCACGAATAATGCCACGACAATACTCAACACATACAAATAAATAATTATTAACTTTTGGTGGTGTTGAATTTTCTCTATATAAATAAATGTCTTAGTCTGTCCTCCATTACTTTTTCCTCTCATTTATTTCATTATTACATGTATCATTTGTGGGGGGGGGGTTTCTATTTTTTTTCCCATTTTCTTTTCTTTTTTTAATTTTTCTCCCATTTCATTTTTTGATTTTGTATATCATATACTTATACCTCTGACCTGATTATATATATGCTGTAAATATTTCTCATTGTCCTCATGTACTATGTATTTCAAATGGTGCTGAGTGAATAAATGAACTTGGAGATAACGAACAGTATTCAAGATCAAAAGTCCATTAAACAATACCCACGGAATTTTTCTCCTTGCAGTACAGGAACAGCGCGTTAGACCTCTCCGGCTATCTAGGCAAGTTTCGATGCCGATGGAATTCTCGCGGAGCTGCCAACCAGTACACGGGCATAAAGAATGGATGAGAGATAATTTGGATGTTAGTTTTTTTTCTTAGTTTATTTTAGTTTTTCCTGAATTAAAACATATTTCATTAGAAATTGTTTTTGTAGTTCTTCTTTGAAAAACACATTTCAGTTCTCCCAAACGCACTTAAAAAATAATCAGGAAAGCTAGTAAAATGTACCAAAATAAAATTTCAACATTTTGTTATTTGCACGATAGTAAATGATTCAGATTAAAGCTTATAAGTGCTACATGCAAGCAATAAATGTTTTCTAAAGTTGGAAATTATATCTTTATAGAATCTACAGAATAGATTAGAAAAGCTCATTTTGAAAAAGCCTGGAAAACGCCAACAGGAAGATAAATGTTGGATAATTAGAACTACCATCGGTAAGCTTAGAATTACATACTTTTAAGTTGGAAAAACCAACTTTAATAAATGAATTACTGTGCACCAGCTTTAAAGTTGAACATGTCTTGAATAAAGTTGGAAGTACAAGTCTTGAAGGTCAGACGGTACATTCCTCAGATATCGGTTTTGTGTGTCTTCTTAATACATAAAACATGTTTCGAATTATAAATAATTTGTGATTTATAAAATGATTTCGTTTTGTCTTTAAAATTTACAACGGTATATTTTTTTAATTTTTGCTTTTTAAGCTATTTCTAAAAGGATTATATCGGCAATATCATCCTTTGCTATCTTTCACAAATGCCTTTTAAGTTGTAAGGTACCTGAATTTTTTTTTTTTTTTTTTTTTTTTTTTGGTGAGGTAACTTGTAAAAGTAGCATTGCTTTAGTGACAAAATCTTGGGGAAAATATATATGACTCTGGAACATCTGTTCATTACCACAATAAAAAAATACCTGTTCATCAACAGAGTTTGATGAAACTTACTTGAACCTAACCATTGCACACCTAAAATTTCTATTTTCAAAATTCAAATTAAGAATTACTTGAACAACAATAAATTATCGGACGCTTTATCGGCTACGCATGTCCATGACGTAATGGTGTCTGAGTATATCTGGTGTTTCCATCCAACAACGTATTTGTCAGACAGGGTGAATGTTATGTCTTGTGTTGTGTCACTGCTATCGTGCCATTCTCCGTCCCAATCAACAGGAAGTGTACAGCCTTGTACGCCTACAACTAGACATTCAACCATTATCTTATTTTGAAAAATTGTTAAATCAAAGAGCAAAACATAACAAAGCTTTGCCGAAAAAGTATTGGCTGATCAGAAAACAAAAGTTAAAAAGAAAATTAGAAAAACTTACGTATTATGATTGTTGATATCCATAGAAACACACATATAATTTCCTCTTTCATATCTGACAGCCTTTAGCGTACTCTTGATTTTACTTCAAAGTACTCTACATTGCTCCTCCCAGAAGTTTAAAATACCAGTATGTCACGCATGCACACATATGTTTTGATATTCACTACGATCCATTTATGTTGAAATTATTTTCCATTTCTTATCCGAAATAATATCCAATAAATTAAAAACAGACTGAATATTATCTATGTATACTGTTGAAATTTTTTTGTATGCGACTTTAAGCTAAAGGGAGGTCTAAATACCTGGTTACCTACGCATACATAAAGATTATTTTATTTGTTTAACTTAATATTCTTTCAACAATAGAATTTTAATTTTTACGACAAAGAAATTTAAAACAATGAATAAAACTGATTGAATTAAATCGGTAATTGCTTTTGCCGTAAAGGTAAAATCTGAAAGCATGAAATCATAATTGTTCCCTTGCACATAAGCATTTAAAGAGACAAGGTGACGCACAAATTGGAAAATTGACAAACGTAGAATTTTTGCATGTAAATTTTGTTTAATTTCCAAAAGTTAAATTAGGTTTAAGAAAATTAAAGGTTTCAGAACCTAAAAATCTATTTTTATGGAGAAAAATAAAAGTAAAGATAATTTCAGTATGCCCCATAACGAAAATATTGCTTTATTTCTTCCTCTCTACATGTATTGTACGCGTGCGCAGAAAAGTTTGAATAAGTTTCCATAGTTACCATTGTCTCCAGTACCCAGAAATGAATAGAAGAAGACCAAGAATTTTATTGCAAACTATTTAAAAAGTTGTAAGAACAATTTCCCATCGTTGCATGCTCCAGTTGAATGTTGTTCACAAGTTTGAGCTAAAGATAAAAGTGGCGTGACCTTGACATACACGAAAACAACGAAAGATAGATGCAACCTTAATAGTTTTTCCGGCATTTGTATTGTGCAGTCTTTTCTTGCTTTACAGTGCAGTTTTGTTGTCATATCTTCGCTATATACTCATACTTTTTATAAGCCTTGTGGCAAAGCACTTTGAAAAAATTACGCACTTTGAAAACTTTTTTCAAAGTGCGTTAAATTTGGGACAAAATCAATGCACTTTGAAAGATTTTTTCAAAGTGCGTTAAATTTTGGACACACTCACCGCACTTTGAAAAAAATATTTCAAAGTGCGTTAAGAGTGTACATAAACAGTTTTTACCTTGGGACATATAACGCACTTTGAAAAAAAAATGTATAAAACAAAAAAACTCTATACTTAGATTTCAGTAATTGAGAGAATCAACTTTTATTAATTATATCTTTCGAAAATTCAATTTAATTTACATGTATTCATTAAACTTCATTGGGAACAAGGAGAAGGCGAGTAGAAGGTCTCTCAGCCCAACTTTTTTTTTATACCTTGTACATAGTCGTCGGTAGCAAATAGAAAGTGGACACCTCCTCAAAGGCAAGCCCCGATTTTCAATGCCTATATATCTTTGCAAAAAATTTGAGTTCCTAAGACCCCCCACCCTTCCCGGTACCGATGCTTATGCTACACTCAAATATATGTATTTGCGTAACTGGTATGAAATTGAAAACTTTCAATAAATTTTAGTTTACATATAAAATGCATGCAAACTGCAAAACTTAGTAAAACATTTAAGAGAGATAGAATTTTCAAAGTATGGAAATATCAAAATCGCTCACTTTCACATCCTGAAGTGACCTCATCACCAAAGAGTTATCAAACAGGTTCAATTATTTATCATACCCAAGATTTGCAAGAATATTGACCAAGCCATGAATATATTTTTTCAAAGTGCGTTAATATATGGTCGATATTAACGCACTTTGAAGACATTTTATTTTTTCAAAGTGCGTTGATTTGGTCCCAAATTTAACGCACTTTGAAAAAATTTTTCAAAGTGCGTAATTTTTCAAAGTGCGTTGTAACAAAGCCTTTCGCTGTATGATACAGATACATGTATTTTAAAAGAAACACATAATTTTGACTCGTTATGTAACTTTAAACAAGCTAATTCAGAGAATTCGTGTCCCCCGCTTAGGGAAAAGTCGGATCCCCCTGACTGAATTTGTAGAATTATTAAATGTATACATGTATACTGAAGCAAATAAAATACATGTATGTCAATATGCATATAAAGATTTGATTTCTTATTCTTTATTATGTGTATAGAAGATTCTTTTTATATGGAATATTTATCACACTGTAATGATGATTTTATAACCTCATAAATTTTTCATTTCACATGCTGAATACTATCATTTAGTAAAAAAAAAAAAAAAAAAAAGTATTAAAAAAAAAAAAAAAAGAAGGATCGACCGGGATTCGCTCCCGGGACCTCTCACATGTGAAGCGAGAGACATTTTTTTTTTCTCTTTTATTGATATATTCATCTTCATTTGCATACACTTATAACAACTAAGTTACAACAATATTAAAAAGAGGGCAATAAAAATCACATAAGTTTGTTTAAAAAATAAATAAAAGTATGCCTTCAGTTTCTTTCACAATATGATTTCTGTTCAAAAACTTTTTATAAAACATATGTTTTCTATTTTCATCAATGCACAAATAATGAAAATAATATGAAATATAATGTCTCAACATACATTTGCACAATTTTGTAACATCAATAAGTTTGCCACAATGTAAGTATATTTGTCTTCTTTTGTAAATTGAAATTCTACACATTGACAGAAAAAAATTCAGAAAGAAAATATTAACATGTTTGAGTTTCATTAAAAAACCGTTTAAAAAAATATTTTCAAAATTCAAGGTATTATACACACTATTTTCACAGTCTTTCAAGAACGATTCTAGATGATAAATAACAAAATTCTTCTTAAAATCTTGTAGTTCTTTACATTCTAAAAATAGGTGAAATATGTCCTCAGTACCTGATTCACAAACAGTACAAACTTTAGACTCAATCTTCCCAATTTTAAATAATTTTTCATTCGTAAAGATAATATTATGAAAGACTTTAAAATCTATTTCTATAATATCTGGCGGTTTAAATGGTTCCCATAATATCAACCATCTTTGTTTTATGTCATCTTGATTAACCATTTGAAATTTATTACACCAGAATTGGTCTGAAACAGGGTGTAAAAAAAGTTTTGCAATAAGTAATCTATAAAATATCCGTACAGTACAGGAATTGAATACCATATTTTGATCTTTGAATTTGATACAAAAATCAGGTTCAAAATTATTCCTTGTATATTCAGTTTCACAAACATATTTTCTCCATTCATCTGGAATAACTGATTTCAAACAAATATAATTGTCTTTGATAGTTTTGACATCTATATCAGGATTCTCCTCTTGAATAATTTCTATAATACAAGAAACAGGTAGAAAACCAGGTATAACCTCATAAGTAATGTCTTTTACATGCGAAATACCTGATCTTATAAAATGATCCCATTTCAACATCTTACTATTTGTAACAATTTGTGGATTACAAAATAAACAATAATCATAAATATCATTATTATCTTTCTTGTATTCTATACTATCTTCTATTGCATACCAAGCGTCCATCATCTCCTTATAGTACTGAGGGAGAAACTGAAGATCTTTCTTATTAAATCTTAATAAAAATAATTCAAACCCTGCTCTCAAACCACAAATTTTTGACAAAAAATATCTACATGTTAACTTCCATAAAAAGTTTTTTCCATTGCACAAATATTTTGCTAAATTCTTCAGTCTGAAGGCCAACATTTTAACATATATATCAATAACATTCAAACCACCCTCTCTTTTTTCTCCAATAATCGTTTTGTATGCGACTAAATGTTTACCATAATTCCACAAAAAGTGTGTACATTCCCTTTGAATACTTTCTATAGCCCATTTAGGCATTGATATCACACTTAAAAAATACCACAGTTTTGACATAAATAATGTATTTATAACTACTGCCCTTCCTTGAATTGTTAACTCTCTTAATCTCCAAAAATTCAATAATTGTTTTATTTTCTGCACTTTGTCTCTCCAATTTAGGTTTCCACATTCTTGTTTGTTCTTTCCAAAATATATACCTAAAATTTTCATTACATTTGTTTCTGAAATACATAGTAAATCTTTTTCATGCTCCAATAACTTTGCGGTTCCAATACACATTATTTCAGATTTTTGTTTGTTGATTTTTGCACCAGAAGCTTTTCCATATAAATCAAACATTTTCAAAATTTCAAAAATAGATTTCTTCTCACATGTTGCCAGAGTTGTGTCATCAGCATGTTGAAACATCAATGCACGTTCATTAGACATTGGTATAGGAATTCCTACAATGCTTGTATTACTTTTTATATAACAACTTAAAGGTTCTGATGACAATACATACAATAATGCAGAAATAGGACAACCTTGTCTAACAGAGTTTTTAATCGGAAAATATTTGGTTAAAAATCCATTACTCTTAACACTGCTGTAAATATCTGTGTAGAATATACTAATCCATTTTCTAAAAATTGGTCCAAATCCAAAAACTTTCAAAACATCAAGTAAATAAACATGACTTACTCTGTCAAAAGCCTTTTCTTGATCTATTTTAATTATATATCCTTCTAAATTATCCATTTCAACCATATCTATAATATCTCTTATACTAATCAACGTATCAGCAATATCTTTACTAATAATACAACAAGTTTGATTTTCTGATACAATGTTTGGCAATACAAATTTTAACCTATTAGCCATTACTCTCGCTATTATCTTATAGTCAACATTAAGTAGGCTAATTGGTCTCCAATTTTTTAAACATCGTTTGTCACCTTTTTTCTTGTATATCAATGTAATAATACCCATCTTCATAGAATGTGACAAATGTCCTTGCATTTCTATCTCTTGATAAATTTTAAATAAAACAGACGAGAGTTGTGGTAAAAACATTTTGTAAAATTCAACAGTTAACCCATCTGAACCTGGACTTTTGTTATTTGACATTCCTTTAACAGCCTTATCTATTTCATCACAGTCAATAGCCTGTTCACACATGTCAACATCTGTTTCATTAAGTTTTTTGTCAACAAAAGATAAAAGCTTGTCCTTACTTTCACTTTCAATTGTAACTGAAGAATATAGCTTAGAATAAAATTG